GGAAACGGTTTTGAAATCGAAGAATAAGTGTAAGCGCGGGTTTTTATCTTCATGGATAAATGATCATAGATTTAAATCATGGATACGTGCAGTACCCCATGATAGAAGTCGTTTTATTGTACTTTATGCAATAAGTCTTATTCTTGCGGTTCCTCAAACGTGTATAGACACGGAGAATCTGGGTGTCATAAAAAAAAATAGTACTTCTAAAAGGACTTTTATGCCTCAATGCTTGAGAATGATTATTTCAAGCCATGGTTGCATAAAGTCGACGGCGACCCTTATTCGTGGTTCTGTTCGGTTTGCAACAATCAATTTTCATGTCGATTATCGACGATTATAATCACGCAGATTCTCAGTGTCACATTGAGATTATAAAAAGAGTAACATATACAGTAGTCCCAAACGTTCGGCTATATTCCGCGAATTTCAGCAATGTTTCAAATAACCGACCGAAAATTTTAAAATTGTGTTCTACGCGATGGTTATCGCATTATACATCCGTAGTTACACTTTTAGAGAATTGGGACTCTGTATTGCTTTTTTTGCAAGAATTGACATAAGCGAGAAATCAGAGTCCGGGGAACGTCTGTTAATCTCGATGCAAAATCCAGAGGCCAAAGCATATCTTTATTTTCTAAATTACGCTCTTGAGTTTTTTTATAAATTTAACATTTTCTTTCAAACTCAAGAGACAAGAATTCATTTGCTTCAAAAGACTGCGGCAGAACTTTTATGCGATATATTACGCAATTTTCTGAAACCGCAGCTTTTGAAACACATGGATTTAGTAAGAATGATGAATTTTTCTGTAGTCGAAAATCAACTTCCATTTGATAGTATAAATTTAGGAACAGAGTGTCTTAATTTTCTGCATCAACTGAATGCAGAAGGCAAGTCCGACATCGTAGAAACCGTAAGGAAAAATTGTTTAATGTTTTATATTACAGCTGCAAACGAAATTCGTCATCGATTGGCAATCGATGACGATTTCTTAGCATGTTGTATGTTTTTGAACCAACTTTTATATTAAATGATACAAATAGAGACATTTCCTTCAGAAATGTTCTCTTAATCGCTAAGAATTCGGCGGTTTCGACGAAGAAGGACTGCAAACAGAATGGTCAGTATTGCCTTTGGAATTTACAACGAAAGGTAGACAGACGCTTATCGAGATGAAATTCGATGGTTTCTGGAAAACAATTTTATTAACGCGAAATTTGGACTATAAAATTAAATTTCCTGAATTGATGAAATTAGTAAATACAATTAGATCACTTCCAAATTCCAATGCCGATGCAGAAAGATTGTTTTCCATGTTACCTGACATAAAACAAAGAAACGAAATAAACTTTCTTCGGCCAGCGTCAACTCTATTTGCGTTGTGAAATCTTCGTTAAAGGCGCAGAGGGAAAACTCTCAACCCATGGAGGTAGATGACGATCATCTAGCTCTATTGTATTCCAAAAATTTATATCATAGATTTGCTAAGAAGCAAAGTGTAATTTAAGATTAAACGCAACATATGACAATAACTTTGAGAATTTTCCCGCTACGTCATATGACGAAAATTAAGGTACCGATTTACTACAGAGCTTTTCTCTAGAGAGATTTTTCTCTCCAGAGAAAAGCTCTTTAGTAAATTCGTACTATTAGGCTGCAATGACAGTATAAACGTTTTCATGCGACGTCGCGGTAGACTGGTCTTGTTACGTCAACGGTACCGTGACGTAGGCGCAACAAGGTGTGATGCATGTATGTGCCATAACGTCACGCGAAAGCGCTTACATTGCAACCGCAGTCTTGTTAGTGATGTCCAAAATATTTTTTTTGGACATCGCTAATATGTAAATAGTCGTTCAATTTGTCTCGCGTTGTTACTTTTTTTACGTATTTCGCTTGCTGTAAATACTATTCTGCTTGCTCTAACTATCATTTTTTTCTTCATTTATTTGCTTATATTTTGCCGTATATTTTTAGTTAGTGAAATTGTTTGCTGTAGATAGTGTGGCTATGACGTAGAATGTCGCGCCTTGTTACACTTACGTCACGGTACCGTAAGAGCAACAATGCACGACATAACGTGCCAGCTTAATCGCAAACGTCCTATCCCGACATCCCATCCTTTGGAAATGTAAACAATTATATCATTTTTCCATTTTTATGGCTCGTGTGTATATTAATAAAAATTAATGCATTCACGAGTTAGTTTTTCATTATATTGTAATTTCATTACATTAATAAAAACATTTTAATATACGGCATGTGATAATGTTACAAAGAAATAACAATTTTTTACATTTCCCTCCTGATGGAAGTGACCACCACCTTCCCGTGGTTTCCATTGAACGGTAGCGTGCACGTTATTGTTTTACCTATCGTTACAATTATTTTGTTATGTAAAGTTAAGTCAAATATATACATTTGATTGTGTGTAACAATTTGATACGGTTATTAAAAAACATAGTGGGAAAAGTCAGTAGTAATCTATTTCTGTAGCGTGCACGGTACTGGCTAAGAGTGGTTTTTCATTTTAATTAACCCTTAATTAACCCTTTACGAGTAAGACTGCTTTGAACAACATTATTCTAAAATATTTGTGGAATACGTTTTTTATGTGGTTTAGGTAGGTATGCAAGGCATAAGATTTCGTTTAATTTTTCCTGTCTAGGAAAGATAGGAGAAAAATATATTTGATCTTAATCCTTCTTAAGATTTATATAAATCGCTTTAAAAATTTGTTACAAATGATGTGTATGTATCGAAATAATTATAAAACTAAAAACGTATAATCATTATTATATGGGAGCTGATCACGCTTAAAATATAATGAGACCTTAAAACGAGAACATAAAACTTAAATGTTAAGTTTCATTGAAATTCATTCAGCCGTTTAGACGCAATCATGTCAATAGCATAGGAACAAAAAAAAAATATGTTTTTTTGTAGTAGTCACAATATGATGAGGGGGTTCTAAAACGTGTATTTCCGCTAAAAAAAATTTCGAAATATTTTTTTCGTTATTGAAATTCACTTAGTCGTTTAATGCATTCATGTTAATAGCATAGGAACAAAAAAAAATATCGTTTTTTTCAATAGTCACAATATGATCAGGGGGTCCCAAAACGTGTATTTCCGCTAAAAAAAAATTTCGAAATTTTTTTTTCGTTATTGCAATTCACTTATTGTTAGTCGTTGAGGAACAAAAAAAATGTCTTTTTTTTCAATAGTCACAATATGATCAGGGGGTCCTAAAACGTGTATTTCCGCTAAAAAAAAATTTCAAAATTTTTTTTCATTATGATACTTTATAAATTTCCTTATACCTTACATATAGGTCGGAAAGTAAAAATGCTGGGGCAGTCGAGGCTTGGAATCGTATGCCACTTATCGCGAGGTCGTATTTCAGCTGTTTCTCTTTTACAAGAGCAAGAAGGAAAGGCTCACACTAGCGTTCTTTATCGATTTGCCGAAGTTGTGCAAAGTGCCGAGCTCACGTACACGTGGCTCGTGCGGTAGTGTATGCCTGCTATCCCCACCATTCCGTTAGACGCTAAGGAAGTTCGTCGTCACTGTTGTCGATTTCGATGCACTCAATTATGCCCGATCTGGCCACATTGCCCGGCGGTGCTTTTCTGGCATCTCTGTAAATGACGTAGTCGAACTGGGGAGTTGCTCCAACGTGCCGTTATTATCGGTATTCCCATATTCATTAACTTCCATTCCCAAATCCTAATTAAAGGGAAAATTCCGAATAGTTCTTCCAAAATAACATCATTGTTCGTGTCTGTAACTGTGATGAATACTGGATATCATAATAATTAAAGCATAGTAAAATAATCAAGAAGGACTGTTCATTATAAGCGTTATCTACAAATCTAGAGGTAAGTTGTATATGATATATAAAAAATGCACATATATATATATATATATATCTACAATTGTTTAAATCTATGTATATAATATATATAATATGCTTCTATTAAATAACGTTTATTAGACATTTTCTTCTACAAAAACAAATGGCGATATTTTTCTGATTTTTTCATTTATGTCTGTTTGTTAAATTAAATAATATAAGTTCATCTTAATAAAATGTGATTAGTCAAAGCAAAGACCTATTAAAACAAGATTAGATAACTAGGAGTCTATTGTAAACTGATACACTAAAAGTAATGTTGATATTAATTGATACTTATCTATGGAATTCCAGCAAAATGTTTAAAACACCAATAATGGTTTTACAAGAATCCACTATGAGACTTGGCAGTTTACCTATCTACACAGAAATGCCTTGTACATCTCATAATAGACAATTTAATGTTGAAGTCAAATGGAAGAATTATAGTTGTGTAGGAATGGGAAGTAATAAAAAGTTAGCCAAACAAAATGCTGCTAAAGAAATGCTTAAGATGTTGGTATCATCAGATGAAATTTCAAAATCTGTATTATCATTCCTATCACAATATGAATTAATCAATCCAATAATAAATACGTCTGATTCTACATCTGATATGGATTCCTCTTCTAATTGTTCGAATAATTCTTGTTCATCTGTTACAACTACAGATCTGGAAGATATAATAGACAACTATGTGAGTGGTTTACAAGTAAGTATATTGTAAAATATTACTTCTTTTACAATGCTACTTAAATGTATATTTTTATTATTAAAACTGTCTCCCAGGAATTTTGTATATCAAATGCTATACCTACACCCTGTTACAATACTGTTAGTATAAATGGACCATCTCATCTCAGTGTGTTTACTGTAAGTTGTGATACATATAATGTACATAAAGAAGCATCTGCACATAAAAAAAAAATTGCCAAACAAAAAGCAGCAAAAGAAGTCTTTAAATATTTAATGGAAAACGCAAATCACTGTACTAATAAACCAGAAATAAATATTGTAAATCTTGAAAATGCCGATTTAAATTTGAGAAAGTTATAAATATATATCGTGAACGAAATGATATTAAAACAATCGCAACTGACAAAACAATTCAAATTAAGGATTATCACGATGCATTAACTAACTTATTCAGTAAAATTCCAAAAGAACAGAGAAACTATTTGGTAAATAGACATATGCTAGACAAATATAAAAATGATTTGAATGATATGAGAAACATTATTTGTAACACGTTGAAGTTAACTGTGGATAAAATTATGTTTAGAACAAAACAGAATAATATATTCATGGTTGGAATTAGATTGACTTCTATGCCCATAATATTTCAAATTGGTCAAGGTACAACCATAATAGAAGCAGAAAAACATGCCCTATATAAATTATTTGAAAAAATATTTTTATTTTTTCGTAATGTATAAATAAAAAATTATAAATATACAGTAGTGCCCACATAAGTGACCAAGCTCGGGACCGGCCGTGATCACTTCTCAGAATTCAACAGAGATAAGGAAAGAGAATAAGTGCAAGTGAGATACAATAGCTGGCACCCGAAACCATATTATACAATGCATGGATAACGTCCGGAGTCCGGCGTCAAGTTACGCTTGACACGCTTGATGTTCGAAGCCGCTTAGCTTCTAAGAATTGGTGGGGATAATTCTGGTCATATATGTGGGCAAAAATCCGGTCACTTATGTGGACACTATTGTATATGATTTTAAATATATATATTGTAAGCGTTAAACCGTTGGCTCCCGAATTTCGGTGAGCGACCGGTAGGCAGTTATGTGTTTAAACATACTTTCCTACTGAATATATATTTATATTGATAATTCCTTGAATTGTACTACATTTGTAAATTACGTTAATAGAGTCTTCCAATTAATTTTTGCATTATTTTTTTTACTTTAATTATTGTAGACCGTTAGATTTGTTACTTTGTAGACCGTCAAAGGAGGCCGTGGGCCGCGGGCCGTGGGCCGCCAGTTCGGACCGGGTGCAAAAATCGATCGGCTGCACGTGTCCGTGGAACATCGTCGAACGATCGAGAAGGTTCCACGGCACGCGCCGGGAAGTTTTGCACCCGGTACGAAAGAGCCAAAAGACGATCGGATCTGGGGATATATAAGCCCGGGCCCCGATCGCCAGAGAGTCAGAGTCAGAGTCAGAATCAGAGATCGTCAGTGTCAGTCAGTTTTGTGTTATTCAGATCTCCGTTGATTTGTCGGTTTGTACCCTGATATAAAATAAAGAACATTTTAACCTGAATTGTGAGTACCAAAGTTCCTACCACCTCTCCAATTGTCTACATTATATATTAAACAAGAATCTGTAAATACCAGGTTGGCTTGGGATATGAACTTTTCTCAGGATCAGTTAGATACTCAAAAAAAATACTTATAATTTTTTAAATTATGAAAATGATAAGATAGAATAAGAATAACGTATCAGTGTATTCTCGAGAATCCCGACTATTCTCAGGAATCCTCACTCCTGGTTGTCCTCGAAAATTATACATTTTTGGTGTATAATTACTTTCCGTTCATTAATTGTCTTCATCAAAATCATTGTTATTAGAACTTTCATTATTACTATAACTTAATAATCGGAATCGTCAAAACCGTTTTATACAAATATCGCTTCCACTATCTCTGTTGCTAGTATCTGACACTTCACCATTAGTATCACTATCAATATCTGAGAAAGGATCAGCATATATTTTATCGTCGATTCTTTTCCTTGCCATATTGATATTTAAAAATTTTTAATATGAATGTAGAATAATAGATAATTGAAATACTCAGTGATACGTGATACTTGTGTGGTAAAGCCAGTGATGGAAGAAAGGAATGCGCCTTGTACGATAACTCACGAGAATATATTTTACGTACGAGTGGTTTAGTGGTTAGTCAGTGTGGCCAGATCGGACATAATTGAATGCATAGAAATCGACAATAGTGACGATGAACTTCCTTAGTGTCTAACGGAGTGGTGGGATAGCAGGTATATACTACACACGAACCACGGTACGTGAGTTCGGCACTTCGCTCAACTTCGGGAAATCGATAAAGAACGCTAGTGTGAGTCTTTCCTTCTTGCCCTTGTAAAAGAGAAACAGTTGAAATACGACCTCACGATGAACGGCATACGATTCCAAGTCTCGACTGCCCCGGCATTTTTACTTTTCGACCTATGTACGGTATAAGGAAAGTACCATAATGAAAAAAAAATTTCGAAAATTTTTTTTTAGCGGAAATACACATCTTAAGACCCACTGATCATATTGTGACTATTAAAAAAAAAATTGTGTTTTGTTCCTATGCTATTAACATGAAATTCATTTAGCCGTTTAGACGCAATCATGTTAATAGCATAGGAACAAAAAAAATTTCTTTTTTTTGAATAGTCACGATGTGATCAATAGGTCTTAAAACGTGTATTTCCGCAAAAAAAATTTTTGAGCTCTGTGAAAGCAAGAAGGATAGACTCACATTCACCACCTTTCTCGAATCCCCGAAGCTATATCAAGCGCCATAACTCATATGCAAGGTGGTTGTGTATTAGTGTGTGTAAGTGGAGGGGCAGTTTTCTTTGGGCCGTCTGATAATACTGCACCAGAGATGCCAGAAAAGCACCGCCGGGTGCACACGCCACATGCCAGATACGCGTACGTGAGCTCGTGGAGTTTCGGAAAGTCGACAAAGGCAAACTGACGCATGCCCTCTTTCTCGATTCTCCGAAGCTGCCCGAAGTAATTCGGATCGCCTCGTGGGAGTCGAGAGAGAAAGGCTCACATTTGCCTTCTCGCTCTAAACAACTGAAATCCGACCTCCCGTCAACGGTATACGATTTGGATTCTCGAGTCGAGATTCTCGACTGCCCAGGCATTTTTACTTTCCGACCTATGTAGGCGCACATAAGCAAAGTACCCATAATGAAAAAAGAATTTTGTAAAATTTATTTTACGAAAATACACGTTTTAAGACCTCCTGATCATATTTTAATTATTGAAAAAAAAGAAATTTTTTTTTATTCCCATGTATGAGCACACATATATATATTATTAATACGATTGAATATAAATAGCTGAATGAATTTAAATGAAACTTTACATTTAAGTTTTATGTTCTCATTTCAAAGGCGTGTGGACGGATTCAAATACGTGAACACTAAACGTAACGATGTTATTATATTATTTAATATTTACTAACTATTTAACATAAAGAACATAAAAGAAAGACATAAAACGTAAACGTAAAAGATCATAAACGTAAAACTGTGATTGCTCTCGACTAACGTTCGATACAGAGTGACGTTCCTGCAGTCAAAGTCGACCCTTCCTTATTCCTATCTTATAATAATGATCTAAACAAAACGCACGTTCGAGACGCAGTCTCTAAAACGTATTTCAGCTTAAACCTAAACACCGCACTCGATACCTACTCTAGCTTAGACTAAACACTCCTATCGACGCAAACGATAACGGTTCTCCTAGCCACACACATACACTCCTTACAGATTATACCTCTTGTTTCATAGTTGTTCCGATATATAGGCATAATGTATAAAAAATCTTTTAAATGTTTCATATAAATCTTAGGACGAATTAAATTTTATATAAAAAAAATTATGTAAACTTTTTCTCTATCTTCTCTAGAAAAGAAAACATTAAATGAAATCTTATACATTACATGCTTACTTAAATCGCATTGAAAACGAATACCACAAATGTTTTAGAATAATGTGCAAAATGTGATTGCGATTTTCGCTAAGACAAATTGAAAACTCGTTTCTAACAAGGAAAAGTTGGAATGGTACCAGGTTTTGGGTTAGGTTTTACTTTGAGATATTATTAAAGTTATTACAGGTACTTATTTTCAGAAATAGAACTATGTTCACCACTAATCAGCATGGCGTGAGTGATGAGGTCTTTGCCTGCAAGTTCCGAACTTCTTCTGCTGTACTGGTTCGAACCCTGCCAAAACAAATCCTTTTTTTTTATTTTTTCAACCATATTTTAATCGTACACTAAATGTGACATTATATTTTTGTCTGACCTTCGAATATTTTTTTTTAAAGTTAAATTTAACCGATTACATTTAACATATGTTATTTTCAATGTACGAAGTACATGAATCTGGATGGTACTTTTCACAAAAACAGTCAAAACATAAAAATTTCAAACACCACGTACATTTACTGAAAGTTTTGTTTTCACAGAAATTACAAAATTTTGTATTTAACTCTGATGGAAAGGCCGCTTCATTTACATTGATAAAATGTGAATGATTTTCGGATAGTCGTACCTTGTAGCTCGTACTTTTTACCTTATACTTCAGGTAAAAAGGGATATAGCTGGGAAAAACAGTTTTATGACATTACCTGCTAACTTATGTTACTGTTCTACAATGAAACGCTATGTTTTGTAGCTTTAAAAATATTCGACTATGTCCTTTTAAAATTTAAGATACAACCCATACTTTGTATTAAACTGGCAAACGGGATACTTTTCCTTTGTTTCTAGTTAGTTCTATTTAGTTCGTCATAACAAATTGATTTATCTCAAAACAATCGAGGAAAATCATTATTAATTAATTTCTGCAATTATTAATTCTACTGTTTTGTTTGTTATAAAAGTAAGTACTCTTCTTATTGAAAAATACCACAGCGTGCTCAATACTGGTAAAGAGTGGAATCTCATTTTAATTTATTAATTTTCAATCTTAAAGTATTTTGATTTTCAAAAATCGTATTAATAATATACATATGTGTGCTCATACATGGGAATAAAAAAAAATTTCTTTTTTTTCCAATAATTAAAATATGATCAGGAGGTCTTAAAACGTGTATTTCCGTAAAATAAATTTTACAAAATTTTTTTTTCATTATGGGTACTTTGCTTATGTGCGCCTACATAGGTCGGAAAGTAAAAATGCCTGGGCAGTCGAGAATCTCGGCTCGAGAATCCAAATCGTATGCCGTTGACGGGAGGTCGGATTTCAGTTGTTTAGAGCGAGAAGGCAAATGTGAGCCTTTCTCTCTCGACTCCCACGAGGCGATCCGAAATTACTTCGGGCAGCTTCGGAGAATCGAGAAAGAGGGCATGCGTCAGTTTGCCTTTGTCGACTTTCCGAAACTCCACGAGCTCACGTACGCGTATCTGGCATGTGGCGTGTGCACCCGGCGGTGCTTTTCTGGCATCTCTGTACTGCACTGTCTTTTTCAATCTCTTCCATAGTCAACTCACATGTATCTACGCACACACTACAGCTGCTGCCCAGCAATTCTAATTCAGTGAATAGTTTCTCAACTGACCGTCATCCATGAGAAGAGGCCGCTAAAATCAGCTCCGAATTTTCAGGTCGGTATGGTAGTCAGATTCGGCCGCGAAAGTTCA